AAGGTGAATGACATCTTGACAAAACTGCAGTAAACTTATGTTCATCGTGACATAATGGCTGTGGTACAAGGTTTTAGATCAATTCAGAAGTACTCCATAGAGTTGGAGCGGCTATGGCAACATTTTGATCACTTTTCATCTATTTCAAGTTGTGGTGATCTGGGATATAAGAAGGGGGATCTTTGCACAAATGGGGACTATGCTGTTTCCAACTCATCTGAACACGGTCTTTGATCAGAGGAGATGGGTGCTCCTAGCCCAGGAAACAATGAGGCCATCGCCGCGATTTTGCAGGATGAGAATTGCATGAGCCTACACTCTGAGCCGAGTGGACTTCCAAGTACAGGATCTGCTTTGGTTGCCTTAAGTTTATGTATGACAGGTGCTCAGGGGGAGACTCGCATATGCTACAACTGTGGAGAAGTGGAACACCTAAGCAAGGCTTGTGCAAAACCACCTAAGGAAAGAGAGACTGGTGGATGTGGACAGCCTAGAGGTTGTGGTCATAATTGTGGGGGCCAAACTTGTGGAAAAGGGGGCCGTTGGGAGAATTTGATTGTAGCTTAGAACTAGGGAGAGATAGGGTGGATTTGTACCGATGAAGAGCATGAGCTCTTAGAGATGCTGAGGAAGATGCAAAGAGCAGCAGGTGATCTGAGTATGCATCCACATTATCGTTATCTAAGGGGAATATGCTACTTATGTCCACTCAGCCAAAGGTACTCGTGATACACATGCTCTTGTATTACCAGAATGGATAATAGATTTTGGTGCATCTAGACATGTGACAGGTGTTGCTAGTGAGCTCTTTTCATACACTCTCCTAGCAGTTCCAGAGAACATTCAGAACGTCAATGGTACAACATAGTCTGTGGTTGGTAAGCATACAGTGAGTTGTATCAAATCTCTGACTATGCCCAATGTTTTGTATGCGTCCTTCTTTTCGATGAATCTTTTATTCATTAGTGTCATTATAATCCAACTAAAATATATTATTTTATTTGATATTTCTATTGTGATATTTCAAGAGAGGGATTGGTCGGAGACTTAGGAGTGACACCTGACACAGTGGACTCTGATACTTAGAGAGCGGATGGACTCAGCCTTGACATCCATGGTAGAGAGTGCTTGAGTAGTAAGATCTGGGAGTAGTGTGGAGGATGTATTGATGCTACATCACAAGCACATGAGACACTCTTCATTTAGTCTATTGAGTCACTTGCATCTGTTATTAAATGAAAAGGCAAATAAACGGGAAATTGTATGTCATGCATAATGCCTATGAGTTGGGTAAGCACATTAGGAGCTCTAATGTTTGTTTTACTAATCGTTCTTTTGTTTTTTATTTGATACTCAAATATAAAGATATTGTTCTACAACTTCGTTGAATGACTACAGATATTTTATGACTTTTATTGATTATTTTTTCTCGTGTTACTTGATTATATTTGATGAGAAACAAAAATGATGTGTTTATTTGCTATACTCATTACGTTGCAGTAGTTAAGGTATTGAGGTCTGATAATGAGACGAGTATACCAACAAAATGTTTGGGGAGTATCTGTTAGCAAAGAGATACAACATCAAACCACTTGTCTATACACACCGACACAAATTGAAGTAGTGGAGAGGAAGAATCGATACCTTCTAAAGGTAGCCAAAAGCTTGATGATCTCGATGAATGTCCCAAAGCACTTGTGGGACAAATTGTTTTGACATCCGCTCAATTTATCAACAGAATGCCCTCAGGATTATTTGAGTGGTGATCTCATGAATTGTTTAAAGGAGATATTGGTGGGATCCTTCAGTTGATTGTATTTGGTTGTGTTTGTTTTGTAAAGGATAATAGAGCATCAATAGGAAAGTTGAATCCCAGAACTATGAAGTGTATTTTCATGGGGTATTCTATCATTCGGAAGATGTATGTTTGTTGAAACCCACTAGAGAAGAGAAGAGATTGTTTGTGAGTATGGATGTGATCTTTAGAGAATTCGAACCATTCTACCCCTCACCCTTTGGTGACTCATTGGATGTTAGAGGTATGAGGTGAGAGGGGAGTATTGATGGTGAGAGATTGGTATAGGTGGGAACAATGCATTTTCCTGTTGTGTGGGAAGGATCCACTAAGGAAGAGCCGGAAAGTGAGGAAAATGAGCCTGAGGGTGGTGAGATTCAAGCTAAATGGTGGTTTAGGGTGTATACAAAGAGGAAAAGGCGGAATGAGGGAACAATGTCTGTCGTACCACTTGTGCCAACAAGTCTGTTGTTTCGATTTACCCTGACTCCTTTGACACCTACACCATCCGCCTCGATGTTCAATTACACAGGTGATATGATTATTCTCTCTTCTCCTCCCACTCCCATGAATTTAAGGAGGTCCTCTCACTGCAATGCACGTCATCCTCGTAGTTCTTCAGATTGTTATTCTCTTGATCATTTTAGTTTTTCACATGACATTGCCCTGTTTGTCTCATACTTTAACATATCACCTTTACATGGAGCATTCATTGCATTTTTGGACATTGTTTCTATTCCAAGTGTTGGCAGGTAGCTAAGGAAGATCCAAAGTGGAAGGTTGCATTATTGGAGGAACTCGGTGCCCTCAATAAGAACAGGGCACGGTAGCTCGGATTGCTAACAACAGGGATATAAGGTAATTGGGTAGAAATGTGACTTCACAATGAAGCAGGCTACAGAAGGATTAATTGATCGCTACAAAAAGCATGGTTGGTGGTGAAAGGGTATAGTCAATCGTATGACATCAACTATGATGAGACATTTGAACCAGTGACAAAGATGAACACAATCAGGACTCTCGTCTCACTGGCTGTGAATGGTGGATGGAGGTTACACCAACTGGATATGAAGAATGTGTTTCTTCGGGAGAATTTGCTAGAGGAGGTGTTGCATGGATATACCCTCAGGCTTCGACATGAACCAAACGGTGGGCAAGGCATATAGATTTAAAAACTTATTCTATGGCTTGAAACAATCTCCTCGGCTTGGTTTGACAGGTATATGAAAGCAATGGTAGACATGAGTTATCAGCACATCAATGTCGAACAGTCTTCTTTCGACGACATGGTTGTCACGTTACTATTCTTGCTATGTATGTGGATTATATGATTGTCACTTGGAATGATGTTGGAGAGATTGCTCAGCTGAAGATAAGTTTGGGCAAAGGGTTTGAGATGAATGATCTGGGATAGTTTAGATACTTCCTCGAAATTTAGGTGGCTCATGGAACCAAGGAGATTGTTTCATCTCAGAGGAAGTATGTGCTAGACTTGCTCATTGAGATAGGCATGTTGGGATGTAAGCCTGCAATTTCACTACCTGATCTAAAGGGAATGTTGAGCTCAGAGACAGGAGAATCAGTTGATTGCAAGAGGTACCAGAGTCTATCTGAGTCACACTCGTTCTGACATATCATTTGGAGTGTGGTGAGTCGCTACATGCATGATCTGAGGAAGGGTCACATGGATGCAATATATAGGGCCATGGCCTTAGGAGTTACTAATATGATGTGGCTAAGAGCCTTGTTGGTAGAGCTTAAGGTTGACCAAGGAGCTCAAATGAAGTTGCGGTGCGACAGCAAGTCAGCGGTCAACATTGCCAACAACTTATTGCAACATGGTAGAACCAAACTTGTGGAGATTGATAGGTTCTTCATCAAGGAAAAACTGAATAAAGGAGTTCTGGAGCTAAGACACATAGCCACCAGAGAGCAAGTGTTTGGCTGCTTAACCAAAAGACTTTGCTCATTAGATTTGTCTAGGTTATGTGACAAGATGAGCTTAGCGGTTATCTTTTGCCCATCTTGAGGGGGAGTGTTGATATTTGTATCTAATGTAATATCCTATTTGTGATCAGAAGAATTTTAGGTCTAAAGATTTTTTTGTAAATATGGCTCTATTTAAGTCAAATGCATTATTAATGAATTGGGTAAGTTTTTCACATCAAATAATTCTTTTGATATCATTGAAGATTTGATTGCTTAATCAGTTTTACTTCTTGCTTATAAATGATCGTGCTTAAGATTGACATATGATTATACATGAACCTTGCCAATTACGTCATATGTTTATAGAAGATTAGGTTGATAGTATATATTTTTGAATTAATTCAATTAGACTATGAAGCTAATTTTGCAAGTAGAGCCCTCAAATTGAAATTTTCTATCAGCTCGGCTATCATAGGTGATTTGGACACTTGAAAATACTTTGCAATTCGTTTGAAATTTTACCAATTTAGGTTTTCTAAAATATTAGTCTTATGTACTTCAGTCCTTACGATTGGAAAACAATTCTAGCCAACTGGTCTTAAAAGATGCATTATGATTTCAATTAACCAAAAAGAAGCTAAATATAAGCATGCATTTTCCCGACCTGATATTTAATTTTTCTGAAAAATACTTGTATTCCCCTGGATAGGTCCTTAAATTTCTCATAAGTACTCTAAAATCTTCAGTTTTACACGAATTTTTCGAACATTGCTCAAATTTCTTTGAATAGGTACGTAGATGTGATGATATTTGATATGTCCATCAGATTCAAGGGCTTGTATGGAATCAATTTTGCTTTTTATTTTTTGCTTTTGCTTTAAATTTAGAAATGTCTATTTAATGTGTTTTTTACGTTTTTTTTTTTCTTTTATTTTTTTTGAAAACGATTTAAACACTATTTTGAAAACACTCAAAACAAATTTTAAGAATTCTGGTTGTTTTTGAAAACAATGTTATCTTAATCAAATATGTAGAATATATTTTGTTTCAAATTAAAACATAAATAAAATAAAATGAAAAATCAAAGTAATCCCAAACAGTCCATCTGCTGCTGATGGCAATTATATGTCTATGGTAATATGATAAGTTTCTCATCACACAGTTTGTTATTTTACAGGATTTGCTGAATTGCATGCCATTTTTTAGAACACTATATTTTCATGTTATCTGGAATGCAGGTGGGTTAAGGTGTTTTCTTTTGTCCCATTTGTTCCAGGAGAAAGTTCTATGCAGAATCTGCTTCGAAGCTGAAATATGTATGGTCCTTCTGCCCTGCCGTCACCGTACCTCATGCAAGTAAGCTTTTTGTTTGTTGCATCTATAAATATCATATATATTGGCATTTACATGCATACCACCAAACTGTTTAATATCATATCAAAATACCACCATTACTAACCTTTTAAAAGTGAAATGCACCAAAATGTTATAAACGCAAATATGAAATTGTGTTTGGTATGTAAATAAATAAGATTTTTATTTTATTTTATTTTATTTTATTTTATTTTATTTTATTTTATTTTATTTTATTTTATTTTATTTATATGTTAACAGACCATGTGCGGAGAAGTGCAAGAAGTGTCCCATCTGTCGTGTTGCCATTGAGGAGAGGATGCCTGTTTATGATGTATGACACTTTTAATAATAATAATAATAATAAAGTAATGTTATAAATAACAATTGTATATATATAAATATAGGCGACTCCTGTATGCAGTTGAATGCGCGTGATTTTGGGTTGTGATAATTCTTGGATATATTTACTTTGCGCTGAAAAAATGTAAATAAAATAATGTTTTCTTTTTTTTTTTTAATTTTTATTTTTAGGGCTTTGTTTACATGCCACACAATTGTAACGCATTTGCATTTCTAACTGACTAACATTAAATAAATAAATACCACTAACACTAACTTTCTCGTGTTTGCACATTGATGTGATTATGTGATTAAAATATTATGCATGATTGAAAGTTAAATGTTTTATGTATGCACTTTATTTTTATATAACTACTTGCTACGTTGCTGTTGCAGGCAAGCTGAGATTAAAAGCTATATGGTGATCGTTTTCTTTCTTGTTGTGTTAATTATTTGAGTACTAAAGCCTTCTTATCGAGAAAAATGTGGGTATGTAAGACGTACACAGCGCTGTGTATGTCAGGTAGGTTATAGGGAGGGTATTGAGGATTATATGTGTTAATACTCCATGTAATTTACAAATATATGAAAACAGAAACATGAAACTTATTAATTATTGGTGGGTTAAATGGGGTACAACGCAGGTATAACTCTATACTCTCCCTATAACCTACCTTGACGTGCACAACATTACGTACATCTTACGTATGCAAATTTTTTTCAGACATTGAAAGTCTCTCCTTAAAATTTCATTATCGGTAAATCTAGTTTATTTTAAGCTTTGTAAAAAATATAAAATTTTAAGTATAGAAATAAAGAAGTTACTGATTTGTTGCAAATTAAAACACAATAAAAACTTGAATGAAAATTCTTAAAAGTCGCCTGACATTTTGTGATTAATTTATGATCCTTTTTGGTTTTAATTGGCTGCTGAAGTAATTTTGTTTAGAGTTCTACATCGAGGATAAGATTTTTTCCATTATACATTATGTTGGCATGATTGTTGCATGAATGAATATTCATTAAAGATCATGTACACAAATGCTTTCAAACTGCAATTAGCATGTCACTTGCTTTTTAATAAATTCTGAAATAATTTTATGTTCGACTTGAAAAACCAAAAAATGAAATCATTGTAACCGTGGTAAGTAATGAGCCATCCAGCCTCATTTATATATACATTACACAATTTTCATGTATTTGCAACTCTAAACTTAAATTTTTCATATTTACATACAGCAAAACACAACAAATTTTTATTCGCATCATAAAATACCATCAGAACTTTGCATTATATATAATAGAGAGACTGACAAAAGCTCTACCCTGCAGCATAAAACTGAAAATATCACGGTTTACATTATTCCAACAAATTTATTAGCCCAAATATACAATCAATATTATTGTACATTTCTCATTTGTTACAATCTATATAATCCACATCCCTATATAAAGCACGAAAATTTCATTTTAAACATTGTATCACCATGAAAAATCAATAATGACTCCGTAAGGGTTACCTTCAAATATCACGTTGAAGTCAGTTATTCTTGAAGTTTCTATTATAAGTAGAAGTAGAAGATAACCTCGACTGCGCTGAAGGAAAAAATTCAAATGTCGATGGCCCCACTGAACGTCTGGTAGCCGTTGGAGAATCCGAGAGCAGTGGCTCATGAACAGTATTTCTGCTCTTCGATTGAGTGACAGAAAGAGAAGACAAATCTGAATCCATAGGCCTCAGCTGTGACTCTAGGTTTCCTATGCCCATAGCATACACGGGCCCACCAGATCTCTCCTGATGTTGCAGAATATTTATGATATTTGGTTTGTATGTGTAACGGAAATATTTGATTGCCAGCACAGGTCCCATTCCTATCGCTAAAATCAGCTGAAATAATAGGAAACAAATCAGATGAGCCTCTTGAAAAGAAAATAATATCCAAGTAGAGTAAGGAGTTTAGCTGACTACTTAAATGAGATAGCTTGTTTCGGATCAATTTTATTTTTTCTGGGGTTGTTTATTATTTTTCTTTTAATTTTAGAAAGATTTTTTATTAATGTCTTCTATATTTTATTCTTTATTATTTTTAAAAAGAAATTAATATTTTTTTAAAACACTCAAAATAAATTTGAGGTGCTCTGAATGTTCTTAAGAACAACCATATCTTTATAACATGTTTTCAAATCAAAATATTTTAAAAAAAGAAGATAAAAAATAAAAGTGATCCTAAACCGCCCCTAAATTGATTTTTTTATAGACTCGGGTTAAAATAGCCCCTGCAAAAACTACGGGACTATTTCAAAACTTTTCTCATGGAATAAATATGATTTTAAGCTTACAATCATTGTAACCCAATAAGATGACTGCCGGAAAAGACGAAACATGATGGTGTACATCCCAAGTCTTGGTATTGTGCTCACTATGCTGTTGATAACATAGAAGGCTAGAAAATTTCCCCATATGGCAATATGTTGCAATATGGTGAAAGAACTGCATTCATGAAAATTTGTTTGATTTAGGAACAGCTTGTTTATGCTAAAATGAGGTATAATAAGGAATGAATTCTAATATGAAAGCTTACTTCATTTCCAGTGTGACAACTAAAGCCTGTAGCCATATACATCCAGAAAGAGCGACCATCGAGACCTCTTCTATCTCGCTTTTTTCGCCGGCATAGGCATGCATAGTTACTAGGAAAACTACGAGTGCCTGTCAGGATAAATTTGTTAGCGCCACGAGAAACTCATCTGATTAAAGGAGAACATAGGGAAGAACATTTTGGCTATTAGTCCTTTAGTTTGGTTTTCATTAGTTAAAACCATCAGAGAAAAGGAATTCAACAGCAGAAAACAGAGCCACAATGATACTTGAATATTAGAAATGATGAATGACATCCAACTATAGCTGCTATATGGAAATACAAAACTTCAGTAACAAGTCTCATGACAGATACTCCACTTTGGGGCTTCTTGTGATCTCAATGTCCAAGGGAAGAACTATTTTTCGTTAACGTTTTTATTTGTTCTTCTATTTATTTTTCACTACAAATAAGGTTCTTTGCCGTTTAATTTTATCATCAAAGGATGCCTGTAACAAAATTAACATCCGCTATGATTGAAGTTTGTACAACTGTAATAAATGTAAAGAATCCAACAAAAGCAACTCTTATGAACCAATCAAACAGAGAATAAGTGTTAGAGAAAAGAAGTTAAGGTAAAATATTGTGTTAGATTTGTTTATTAGAATTTTATATACATTGAATCGATATAATTTTAATATGTTAATATAAACTTAGGTTACTTGATGACAGGAGGTTAACAAAAAAGAGTTTGCATACGAGTAAGAAAAGAGATCGATCTGAAAGGTTTTAAGGTAAATATTAAGGCTTATATTATTATTAGAATTTATGATATAATTGGTTAAATTAAAGTTATTAAAATTTATTGAATTAAGAAGTGTGGATGAAGGCCATTCAAAATTGTGAACGATAAAAGATATTTGACTTCATCTATGATCTATGATCTATTCTAATAATATTTAGATTATAGTAGATTCTTCATATTGTCAGATAAAAAAATATGCATGTTAAAAAGTTACATAATGAAATTAAATCATATAGAATTTTTCATATGGTTAGTCATGATATATGCATGTTAAATTTTATCTTAATAATTACATAAAGGGATAGTCTATGAAAATATTAAATTACTACATAATGTTTATATTCTAATAAAGATGTATGTGTTATGACTAGATTTATATGTAATAGTATTATTTGACATTTATTTGACCTTTAGAACTAGAGTAAATGTGCATCGTTTAGATTATCATGACATCGAATTTTAGTAGAGTTGCATGATTTTTAGTAAATAAATACAAGAGTCATATAAAAGTAATGTATGCTTTGAATGATGAAATTCATATTGTCAGATAAAAAAATATGCATGTTAAAAAGTTACATAATGAAATTAAATCATATAGAATTTTTCATATGGTTAGTCATGATATATGCATGTTAAATTTTATCTTAATAATTACATAAAGGGATAGTCTATGAAAATATTAAATTACTACATAATGTTTATATTCTAATAAAGATGTATGTGTTATGACTAGATTTATATGTAATAGTATTATTTGACATTTATTTGACCTTTAGAACTAGAGTAAATGTGCATCGTTTAGATTATCATGACATCGAATTTTAGTAGAGTTGCATGATTTTTAGTAAATAAATACAAGAGTCATATAAAAGTAATGTATGCTTTGAATGATGAAATGAAAATATAATATACATGAATACTTGTATGTGAATGTTCAGAATAATTCACCTTATAATGATACAGGCAAAGGACGTCAGTGTACCCGCATGCGTATATGTTTTTCTACCACCCCAGAAAATTATGTTGTTAGATCACTAACCACTGTGTCGGCGGGAGAAGATCGACCAAGAGTGAGTAGACCTAGCTACCACCCTAGGTAATTATAATATTTAGATCGCTAACCATTGTGCCGCCTGGAGAATATCGGTCATTGAAAGGAAAGTGTCTTTCCACCTCAGACAATTATGATGTTTAGATCGCTAACTGTTGTGTCGCAGGATAATATTGGTAAGAGGTGTGTTAGGTTATGTTTTGACGGTGCTCCTAAGAAAGATGTGAATGTTAATAGTATTAAGTAAAAGTAAAAATAAAGTTAAGATTGCAATAAAATTGAATGCAAATAAAAGTTTAGATATTCCATTTAAAAAAGATCATTTATATGTGCAATAGTATATTCAAAGATTTTTTATAGAGATGCAAAAAATTAATATATTACAAGATTTCTCATAGAGATATGAAAGATAAGAATGCATATTGAATTCTTTCGGTTGGATTACGGTATCTTAGAAGTGTGATTACTCTTGAGTTATTTTTAAATACACAACAACAGCAACAACAACAAAGCCTTAATCCCACTACGTGGGGTCGGCTGCATGAATCCTTTTTCTCCATTACGTCCTATTTAGTGTCATATTTTCATTTAGTTCTAGTAAATTAAGATCATTTTTAATACAATAAGCCCAAGTCTTCTTAGGTCTACCTCTGTCTTTCTTAACACAAGTCGAATTTAAAACATCTACTCTCCTAATCGGATCATCTAATGGTAGACGTTTAATATGACCAAACCATCTAAGACGACTTTCTCTAATTTTGTTTGTCACAGGAGCAACACCAACCCTACCACGAATATATTCATTTCGCATTTTGTCTCTAAGTGTAAAGCC